ACATAATCTTCTAAACTGCCAACCAGTTGACACCCACAGTAACAAAAAATATAGCGTTCGAGCATAATAACACAGATGACAACAGTACTAAAGATAGAGCTATATGTATCACATATGAAGTATTAAACAATGATATGACACACATGAACTATGACTTATTCAACAAAAAGAACACAGTACACAGAAAAAGAGATGGAGTAAATTGCATACACGATGCATTCAAAAACCCAAAAGAATCTATTGTTTATTTAATATTAATGAGTAATCATGCTACAAAAGTACTTAAGAATAAGGACTTTAAGTAGCAGCATGAAAATTAACTATTTAGCCCAAAAGAAATTAAAAATTACACGGAGTTCGAATTACTAATTAATTGCTATAAAGTAATCTGTTTTGCCTTTATAACGCTCTTACATTAGACATTGAGGTAATTACTAACTATTTAGGATTTAGCCCAAATAACAATTAAAAAAATACGAGGTATTATATACTGGAAAAAACACAGCGCATGCAAATATATCAGAAAATTGAAAAGATTTCACAACAAAAAAAAAATCCAAAAATTGTTGTTAAGTACTTCAAAATTTTGAATTAGTTAAATTAAATCAGTTAAGCTGCCATACGAAAAAATCAACATTAAAGAACACATCGAAATTTAAGCAAAAATTTGCTAAAGGAAAATTACAATTGGAGCATGTATAATTTTATTTGAGCATAGCAATTCGAATTTTTAATTCTGCTAGTTAAAGTCCTTATTATTAAGTACTTTTGTAGCATGATTACTCAGTAATATTAAATAAACAATAGATTCATTTGGGTTTTTGAATGCATCGTGTATGCAATTTACTCCATCTCTTTTTCTGTGTATTGTGTTCCTTTTGTTGAATAAGTCATAGTTCATATGATACTAAATTCAACTATTACCATATTCGAATTGAAATAAATAGCCATTAACATTGTTTTAATTCTTTAAAGTACGAAATAATAAGAAAACCGAACAATTAACCCATCTTACCTTGGAACTTTTACAACGGAATTGATATCACGATTCAAAGGCGTGGAATTGCGTTTTGAATCTTGAATCTGGTCACGAACGGTTGTGAATCACAAATTGGCGGAATTGATATCACAATTTGGTCACAAACGGAATTGATATCACGATTCAAGGGTATCGTGATTTTGAGAGGAATATTTTTTTTTTTAACTAAATTGGCGGAACCAATTTATTTTCGTTTTAAACGCTTAAATTTTTTTTTTTTTGTTTTTTTTTTTTTTGGGCAAAAGTGGGATTAATCGCCTAATCTATCCATGACTCCATGTTGGGATTTGTGAGTCTTACTTTTATACGGCTATTTCACCAAATGTCACTGATTACTTTCGAAATTCATCAAATGCCATCGAACTTTTCCAAATTCACCAAATGCCACCGAGTTTTAACAAAATTCACCAAATGCCATTAATGACTGACAACCGTTAGTTGACCGTTAGTGGACCCCATCACTTGCCACGTGTCACTTTCTAATTGGCCCATTTTTAAAAAAAAAATTAATTAAACAAAAATTATAAAAAAAAAAAGTTGAAAAAATTTTAAAAAAATGGAAAATAGTAAAATACTTAAAAAAATTAATAAAATAAAATAAAAAACAAAAAAAAAAATTCTGCTGCCACCACCAGCCTGCCACCGGCCAGCCCACGAAGCCGCCGCCGCCGCACCCTTTTGCCGCCGGGGCTAGAACCGGCAGGCGCGCCGGCCGCCGGCGACCCTTCCCCTAGCCTTATCCCGTCGCAACCCCCTCCCCTAACCCATCGCAGCCCCTTCCCCTCCCCTTTCCCGTCGCATCCCCCTCCCCTTTCCCGTCACAGCTCCCCTCCCCTTCCCCTCTCCCCGTCGCAGCTCCCTCCCCTTTCCCTCCCCTTTCCCGTCACAGCCCCCCTCCCCTTCGCCTCCCCCCGTCGCAGCCCCCTCCCCTTTCTTGTCGCGACCCACCGGCGAATCCCCAGTCCCCACTGTATTTCGGGGTGGTGGAGGAAGGGGGGTGGGGTTTTGCGGGTTAAGGGGTTGCAACGGGGTAGGGGAGGGGAAGGGGAGGGGTCGCCGGAGGCCAGCGCGCCTTCCGGTGCTAGCCCTGGCGGCAGGGGTGGTGGTGGCTAGGGTTTTGGGGTGGGTAGTCATGGAGGAGGTGGTGGTGGCTAGGGTTTTGGGGTGGGCAGTCACGGAGGAGGTGGTGGCTGCCACCTCTTAATTTTTTATTTTTTTTTTTGTAATTTTTATTTATTTTAATTTTTTTTTTTTACTATTTTTAAAAGTTTTTAATTTTTATTTTTGTTATTTTTTTAATTTTATTAAAAATATATATATATTTTTTAAAACGGACCAATCAGAAGGTGACACGTGGAAAGTGGTGGGGTATAACTAACGGTCAACTAACGGACATTGACGGTCAACTAACGGAAATGACATTTGGTGAATTTTGTTAAAACTCGGTGGCATTTGGTGAATTTGGAAAAGTTCGATGGCATTTGGTGAATTTCGAAATTACTCAGTGACATTTGGTGAAATAGCCGTTATTTTTAAGTGCTCAATTCTTTTTTTTTTTTTTTTTTATTTTTAAATAATGCTCAATTCTTATTTTTAATTAGACATGTTCACATGCATGATGTATGACTATTCATAATGTAATAATGATATAAAAAATTAATGGATTTTTCTACGTTATAACCCTTTAATTTTTCGTTTTCTACGATGTGCCCCCTCTTTTTGAGAAATCTACACTATAACCTCAAAATACATTTAGTTTCCCACACGGTAACCTTACCGTTATCTTGTCGTTAACAAATTTCATTAGTGAGGCCCACTCATCACTAAATAGTATTTTTTTTATCGATTTGCGTGTTGAAAATAGCTTCGTTAAAGGTTTTAGGGGCTATTTAGTCTCTAAAGGATCCAAATTGAGCTCAGATTTAGGAAAAAAAATAACATAAATGCCTCGTTTTGCGTATTAACTACGTAAACACGCAAATTGAGACATTTCTTAATATGCAAAACGAGCCCTTTATGTTATTTTTTGGTTAAATCTGAGCTCAATTTGGGCCCTTTAAGGGCCAAAATAGCCCTCAAAAATTTAATGGAACCATTTTCAACGAACAATTTGATAAAAAAAATATTATTTAGCGGTGAGTGGACCCACTAACGGAATTTGTTAACGACAAGGTTACCGTGTAGAAACTAAATGTATTTTGAGGTTATAGTGTAGATTTGTCAAAAAGGGGGGTACATCGTAGAAAACGGAAAGTTAGAGGGTTATAATGTAGAAAAACCCAAAATAAATTTATATGATAACTTTTGAGAATTATAATCTAATACTTCCTATGTTTTTTTTGTTGACACCTTTCTGTTATCACACTTGTCAACGCATGTTTTTAACAATTTTATCCTAAAATTCTATCCAAATCAAATGTAAATTAACTTTTTTTTTATCTTAAGAAGTCTATTTATTTAGAGGGTTACTAAATCAGTCAAGGGTAACTATAAGTAACTTCTAACCGACCGAGTAACCCTTGAATAAGTAACCCCTAATCGCCCGAATAACCCCTAAATAAGTAACCCCTAATTGACCGAGTAACCCTCAATAAGCCCATAATAAGTAACCCCGAAATATAAAATTTTGTGATATTATATATATCAATAAGTTAAGGGTTTTTCTAAGCTATGCCCCTAAAGTATTCGAGTTTCTAGAGTGTACCCATGCTTTTTTCAAGTTTCTAAGTTGTGCCCTTCAACTCCTTATCAATACTAAAATGTACCCTTATTAGTTGTTCAAATGTTATTTGAGAGTGTGATTTCGTGACTTCAGTTTTCATTATTAGGGTTGCGGTGGCTAAGATTTCTTTATCCTACCATTTCCCTACCTTTTATCATCTTTCTATTAAATTTATAGTTAACTTTAGGTGACGTGGAAGTCCCAAGGAGCGTACCATTCATCAATGGTAGTAAGTTGAGTGACACAACTTAGAAACTTGAAAAGGCATGGGTACACCTTAGAAACTCGAATACCTTAGGGGTATAGCTTAGAAAAACCCAAAAATTAAATTATGAAAATTGATTAGTGGATTGCTAAACACCACCGTCCAAAATGATCACCACCGCCAAAATTTGGTGTGAGTGGACAACCATGCCATTACTATATAACCACCTATTTTTCCTCCACGGTAAACCAACCACCCCTTCCGATCGGCGACAACAACCACTACCTTGACCGACGACCCATCATTTCCCCTCAATGACAAGCCACCACCTTCCCTCGTCGGCGGAAAAGTGGTGTTTTTTTTAATTTCCGGCAATAGCGGTAACCGGAGCCCGAAACCGGTTACTAGGCATGGTTGTCGATTCACACTAAATGTCGGCGATTTTGATCATTATTGCTGGCGGTATTTAACACCCTCGATTGATTATTGATAAAAGATTAATTGTGTTAACTTCGGACAAGTACACACAGTACTACCCAGTATATAAATAGAATCTATATTATTGAATATTGATTAATGGGGCAAATACTAAAATAGTTCACAACAAAAAATACCACATTATCATGTAACTAGAGTTGACAATACAAGTGTTTGGGTCGAGTTTGGAATGTGGGTTACATGTGACTGATGTAAGACCATGTTAATTACATTACGAATTTACGAGAGTGAGATATATATAGCTCAAGTGGTTAGAGCTCCACTCTTAATGTCAACAAATCTTGGGATCGATTGTGGCCAACAAGAACTATTTGTATTAGAACATTTAGAAGTATAATTATGTTATCTTACATTTAACAATTTAGTAAATAGACATTGAAATATAAAATTTACATGGGAAACTTAAATTTGCACAAATATTGGTGCAATTGGAAGGAATTTTGATTAAAAAATTGATATTAATGCTATTTGAAAAAAGCCAATGGGACTATTAATTTGGGATTAAAAATAGGTCATAAGGGACTATCATTGTATCATTTAGGGACGGAGGGAGTATGAATTATGGAAAATTTTGCAGGAAATTCTACCCACTAAATTAATATTCATTATTAAGCGGTAAAACTCCCTCCAAATTAATATTGAGCACAAGTAATTTATAAAAATAAAAATTAAAAATTAAAACAGTAAATACCTGCCTACTCAAGTCAATCCCACGTTCTTCATTTCATAATTTTATTTTTTTTATTTATTTATTTTTTTTAATAGAAAGTCAATTCTTCACTCCATTCTCCATTTTTTTTAACCATCAACTCTCTTCTATACACAAGTGGGAAATCTCAAATTCTCAGGTAATTTCATTCTCATATATCTTAAATTTAGTTTTCCTCTAAAATTATGTTTCATTAAATCAATTAGCGGTATCTATTGGTTTATTTTCTATTTATATTAGTGATATTAATTTCGGGTGTTCATGGGTTGTGCAATTTGTTTTCTAATAATTAGCTGATTTCATAATGACTATGGACAATGTTAAATGTTGCCCTACTTATTGATAGTCATTTGATTTAGTTGTTGTTCAATATATTTTGCATTGTTTTTGTGAGATTTGAGTTCGGATCTGATTTGGGTTTAATATTTGATTTTTTTAAATTTTTTTTATTTTTTTGTGGTCATATTGTTTTTATTGAATTTGTTGCATTGTTTTCACTAAATTGGGTTTCTGAATATATATATATATATATATATATATATATATATACTAGTCTGGTGCCCCGTGCGACGCCCGGGTTGTTTAATAAATTTATAACATAAACTTTTATCTATATACCAAGTTTTAAAATTTTATTCAATGATACAAAATTAGTTAGGAATTTTTGTGATTTTGTGACGATTTAAATTATGCAATAGGCATATAATGATTAATAATAATATTGGTGAAAATGCTTGATTTGATAAAAATTTTAAAAAATATAGCAAAGTAAGTTTGAAATATTAGAAAATTTTGAAAATTAGCCAAAAATAAAGCAAATAAAAATTTTCTTAAGCATCTTCAGTTGACCTGAACCTGAAACTTTTGCTATTGTAAACATTTTTTGACCCGTGACTTGAAGTGACTCGACCCAAAATGATCTGTGATCTGACCCGAGTGATAGTTCTACATAAAGTAATAAAATCATATTTGATTACGAAGTTTTGTATTTAAATCAATTAGCATATACGATAAATGAATGTTGTACTTTTTTAACTACTTTCTTTGCTCCCCAAAAAAATTATGATATATATTTAAATTTATATGATAACTTTTTAAAATTATAATCTAATAAATTTTTTGAATAAAATTAAAATTCAATTTGTACATCTGAAATATTGGTATTTTATCAAAAATAAAACTCTAAATTAACCTAGTCTATTTTAATCTATCCAACATGGCGCAACACTTAGCGTAAAGTTGGGACGCCAAGTGTCGCTGCCTCGTCACCTGGCTAAAAGTTTAGCTTTATATATATATATATATATATATATATATATATATATATATATATATAGGGCTATATATTGTTTATGCTAGCAACTGATTGTGTCCAATTGGTTGGAACGTCATTTACCCTCTAATTTCTTCTTAGTATTTTGGATAAATGTTTTTTCTTCTTCTTAAAAAAAAAAAAAAAAAAAAAATGAAAGTTCTAGTGAGAGCTTATCATATATAAGAGACCTATACATTGATGAACCATGATGTGATAATTGGAAATTGCGTTGAATCTGTAAAGTTAATCGGGTATACATATTACATACCCTTTCTTGAGAAAAATATGCAATTATGTAGTTTTGTTAATGCTGGGCACATAATATCTAAACTAATATTTTTGTAAAAGGTTTTATTTTCCCTTCTTGTGGATGATAAATGGAAAAATGGACACATAATAGAATTTAGCTTAGACACTTTGTTTGGAGGGCCTGTAAGGGCTTCTTAGCAGTTTGTGAGAGTCTACATTATATGCATTTCCTCTCTGACCCTGTGTGTGCGATATGTGGGAATGGTATTGAGTCTACTCTACATGCTACATTTGAATGTCAGGCGATCAAGAATATTTGGACAATGAGCTCCTTCATGAACATTATTAATCAGGCCCCATCCTCTGAATTTGCTGCAAGGTTTCTTTGGTTAACGTCGAATGTATCAAGAAAAAAGCTCCTTTCCATTACAACCCTTGCTTGGTCTGCTTGGTGGTGCAGGAAAAAGCGCATTTTTGAGAATGAAAGCCAGCGCCCAGTGCAAAGAGCATCAAGCTTGCTGAAGCATGTTGGGGAGTATGAAGAGTATGCTGCAAATAAAGGTGTTCAGAGTATAGGAGAGATTACCATCTACTTCTTTAAAATCGTGGAATTGTCCAACAGTGGGGACTGTTAATATCCGAGACGAGAAGGGTGATTTGCTGGCTGCGGCTGTGCAAAATAAGCATGCTGGGTGGTCTCTTTCACTAGCTGAAGCTGCAGCATGCCGCTTTGGTATGCAACTTGCTACTAGGTTGGGATTTATGAGTATCATTGTGAAATTTGACGCCCTGATGGTTGTTGATGGCCTGATGGGGTTAAGAAGAAGCGTGGTGGTTTTGATCCTTTGTGAAGCTGACATTGCCTGTCAAAACTGACTGTATTTTGGGAGTCAAATTCTCGAAGCTTATACCTTTCTTGTGTTCATATGCTCTGTTGGTGCTATGGAGCTTTGTAGAAAAATTAAAAGTTCTGCAATTTCTCATTCACAAGTTGGATATGTTCTCAGTATGATCTTTCTACCTTAGATCTGGATTGATGATGTGACACCTTTTACTAATTTCAAGCATTTGTGAATTTTGTCCATGCTACAAACAGATTTGGGAAGAACATGAGGCATGCTGGTTTATGAGTATCATTGTGAATTTTGTCCATGCTACAAACAGATTTGTCCATGTCTAAGCCCTTATTTCCTTCAGGTGATGGTTCTTATAATTATTTGATGTTTGCTTCTTATTCTAAGCTTTTGTAAACTGTGCAGTGTAGATTGAAATCTAATTATGATAATCATGCTTTAGAACGAAGTATGCCTTTGGGATTTGTTAACGCTCCAAAAATAGGTTGTAGTGTGGGATGAAAAACATGGCATCTTTGTAGTAAGACTTACATAAGGGCACATTTTATTAGGGAATTCTGTTCTTATTCTGAGAATATTCTTGCGATTTCTTTTAGGTTCTGGATTCTCAAGTTCGGCAGCTTTTGTTTGCTCTTCTAAAATCACTATAATGGATGTTGTTGGGTTGAACTTCCCTAAGGTATTTTAAATTACCCGTAATACTTTTTATTGTTTTGTAGTAAACTAATTATTTCCCTTTCTAAGTCAAAGTATGCCTAACACCGAATGACCTTTTTTTAGAGGGCCGCTCATGTGTACTCTGAAGCTAGAGGGCACATGCTTTCAAGGATACAATGTCCTCGGATTTGAGATTAGCTGAATTTAGCTATTTGCTAGGCACTAGGATCCTCTTTCCGCTATATATTTTCTACGAAGTATATATGTAGTCTTTTGGATTCTTGTATTTAACTAATGCATAGTTGTCATTTAGCATAATTCTTAAAGTTATGTGTTTGTTGGTTATTCTCTTCTATTATAGTTACCTCCTAACGAGATTGACTTTTGTTGGACAGAGCACTTGTGGGATTTGCTGGCCTCCAATGGTGGTTGCTAGTCCTGCTAGTGGACATCTATTCTAAGCAGGTTTGTTCTAATGCAAATGTGTTGGGTGGTGTTACTTGATATTTTTTTTTTTTGCAGGGTGATGCTGACTGTCCCCTTGAGTGACTTTGGCAGAAGTAGGCTCAAAGTGGTCAGGGCAGTATGGATTTTATAGAATCACAGTGAGTGTTGATCAATAAGGATTTTGGATACTAGCTGAGGCTGGGGCTGCAGGATAAGGTCTGTTGCTTGTGCAGTGGCTGGGACTTATGGGTGTAGTACTATAGTGTGATGCGTTATTTGTGGTTCAAGCTATTCTTAGACACCAAGTTGGAGCTGCTCCAATCTCTCGTCTATGATGATATTAGTAGATTAAGTGTTGCTTTTTTAATTCTTTCTCCCTTTCTCATGTAAAACGAGTGGGTCATACAATGTGGCTTATTGTGTAGTTTAATGGGATACGAGTATTTACTAGTAGTTTAAAGGACTTTAAACTTTGGTGGATCTTGGTATACGTTATTATATTTGCTTATTGCTTTTTCTTTTTTCTTTTTTTTTTGCTCCAACAATCAGTGTTTGTAGAACAAATAGGTACTAATATTTATTTTTACTCTTTGACTCTTGAGATTATATATATTGGTCATAATTTTACAAGACTCACATTCATAAATCTTAAGGTGTTTGGCAGTTTGGTTAGCTTAAGTTTACTTTGCATAAAAGTAAATTCTCATTATGTGTGCCACAAAAATTAATATTAATGGGGCACAAGTGTTGGAATGAATGCAACGGCGAAATAAAAATAACCGTGACACAAGTGTTTGTTTGCAATGAGAATAATATTAGTCGTGACACTAGTGTACATTGGCTACGAGAACATAATTGTATGTGGCAAAAGTGTTTATTTGCCACGGGAAATTTTTTTTGTCGTGGCACTAGTTTCAATTAGCCACAAACTTTTTTTTCCCGTGGCATAATATATTATTGTAATATGAAGTTTTTGACAGACTTTATTTTTCCCGTGGAAACATAAAATTATGCCACGAATTTAGAATTCCCGTGGCATAATTCGTGCCACAAGGGTCAATTTGTTGTAGTGAGAGTGGTTTTCCAAATGTCTTTGTGGAAGTCTCAATGAAAGATTTTCTTTCTCCGTTCAAGGCTAAAGGCAATCGTCTAATGAAGTATTTCGACGATGCTCTTTTTGGTTTGGTGGACTCATTGTTTCTTCGCCAACCACCTTAATTGGTGGAGGACGTCGAGCTAACGACGTTAACCAAAAGCGCTTACGGGAGGCAACCCGGTTTTCTAACCTTTTTTTTTATCTAATATTTTTCTTTATTTCCTCCTTTGAGAACTTTTCTTATTTCTTTCTATTTTGGTTTGTTCTTTTGATCTTAGGTACCATGGGATTTGAATCGGAGAAATTTTCCAACAATTTTGGTCTTACTTCAAGAGTTCGTGAGGTTTGGTTATGCTTAGAGGAAAGGGGTCGTTGAGGTTGTATGTTCTTGTGTTTGCATTCCCATCGATTTTTATTCATGTTCAAACATATTTCGGATTCTTTCTTATACTCCCTCCGTTTCAATTTGTTAGTCCCATATACTATTTTTGGCGTTTCAAAAAGATCTACCCATATTGAATGTATTCCACTTTTAACTTATTTTTTATTTCCTATTTTATACATAATAAATTATGAGTGGTTAGATTAATTTATTGTGAATTAATAACATGACTCTATGTAAAAAAATTATTCCCTTAATTTATGCAATTATTACTAATGCTTTCCTTACAAAAATCAAAAAAAAATTATATAAGGCAAACTATTTGTGAATTATTTTTTACTTTAATGCTAGATTCCAAATACTCACCTTTTCTTATTTTATGTGATTGATTCCATATGAGAATATCATATTGAAACGGAGGGAGTAAAATTTTTGAGTCCTTGATCATGACATTTGATAGGGACGGTGAGAATGAAAACACGAAAGCATTTTTAAGGGGGTATTTCTCTTTTTAGCGCCATAGATGTGTGGGGTGCGCACGCACAAAGCTGTGCATGCGCGCATCACGAAGACCCCGCGGGCGCGGATACCTGTGCACCAAAAATGCCAAAATCTGACCAGGAACTTCCTGCAGGCTGGCCACGGGCTACCCGCGGGCGCGACATTATCAGGAGCGGGCGCGACACCTGCTGGCAGCCCCTATAACCCCAAAACGCACCCCTTCTTTCATTTCTTTCATTTTTCCCTCCTAAAACCCTATACCCTCTCTTACAATACCAAGCCTACTTCATTTCTTTTATCATTTCAACATCAATTTCAATTACCAAAATCATGTTTTTCAAATCTAAAACAAAAAATAAACTTTCAGATTTCTTTCCCCAATTCAAGCCAGGAAAAAAAAATTGGGTCTTTTTCAAAATTTTGAAATTTTGTGTTGAGATTTGGAGGTTGTTTTTGAGAATTCTATTTTTTCTTACATCTACATTTTGAGCATTTTTCAAGCATTTCAAAGCTTCATTGAGGTATGGTTTCTTATTGTCTATTCATCATCTTCCTCTTTGATTTAAGCTTGAACCATTATGCTTTCATGGTGAAATTCTATGGTTAATACTTTTCACTTGAAATTTATGTTGAATGATATCGTTGGATGTTGAATTGAAGTTTCCTCATGATAAATGTGTGAATTTTGATTGAATTCTTGAACAATAATTGTTGGCTATTTTCTCTCTCATGGGTTTTCTTTATATTAGTTTCATATCTTTGATGATTCAATAATTGGGATTTATTTTTCAAATTGACTCATGATTTGGTTTCTTATGTTCAAGTTTGCCTTCAATCCATGTTTATTTGCTTGATATTCATGATGTTATCAATGGCATTGTTCATTTGTTACCATTTCTTGCTTCTATTTGTGAAATATTTCCATTTTGTGCTTGTTGTTGAACAACTACTTATGCTTAGTCTTGATACTTTGTAGATGGCCACGCTTCGTCATAAGAAGCGTGCTAGAGCTAGTTCAAGCAAGCAAAGGTATATTGTTCCGCCTCCACCGGAGGTTGAGGAAATTTATGGCTTTGAGTTTTCAAAGGAATCTCATTGGGAGTGCTTCAAACGTCTTTCAAAGAGAAAGCTTCGGCCAATGCGTTTCTACAATCAAACGACAACAAAGTTTCTAGGGATTGACGGGGATGTTCGCCTCCTTGCGGAAGGCCTTGATCTTTTGGACTTCTTGGATTTGAATGCCCCTAACTATGCTAGGGTGACTTATGAATTCCTTTCTTTTCTCGAGGTTGTCCATGAGCCGGGTGCAAATTACTCAAAGATTTTGACTTTCCAACTCTTCAACAATGATCACTCTTTGACGGATGCTCAACTATGTTCATACTTCAAGTTTCCTTGGGCCGAGGATCCGGATCATTGTATTTCTCCGGCTCATGGTCGAATGGAAAGTGAGCATGGATATGATGAGCAACGTTGGTGGAGAAGTATCTCGGAAGAAGGAAAGTATGACCCTCAAACTTCAAAGTCCGCTTCCATGATTCATCCGGCTATGCGATATTTCAACCGAATCCTCACATACGCTCTTTGCTCCAAGGACTCTTTGGGAGCTATTTACCGTGAGGGGCTTTGTTGGTTATGGAAAGCCGACCAAAATGACTTTGAGATTGAGTAGGTGGATTTCACGGAGCGTTTGATCTCCCGATTCTTGAATATCCGTGATGGAGTTTGCCTTTTGGGATGCATCCAATTGGGTGGGATGATTCCTATACTAGCTTTTTGCATCAATGAGAATTACAAGGCTATGCTAGACGAGCTTCCACAGATTATTGATCCTAGAGAAAAGTCCCCCTCGCATTTCTTAAACATCTCCGCACTAGTGAATTTAAAATTTCTTGATCGAACGAGGAAGGACGATGTTTTTATTTAGAAGGTCTGTCGGTATAAGGAGTGGTTTGTCATCCCTTACAAAGAGGCAACTACTCATCCCGAGGAGAGAGATTCTTTGTCCTGGAGACCCCCAATGCAAGATGTTCATCCCTTTATCCGACGAAGGACAAATTGTACAAGAGGTCGTTCAACTAATGCATGCTCATCGATTGCTCATTCCCTTTCCCGGTTGAACCAGGAGGTACATCTTTTCCCTCCCCTTCTCCCACTCCTTCTACTTTCGATATGACAATAATTCATGCCAAGCTTGATTCTATTGCTAACATGTTGTACTCCATGCCTTCTGTGCATCCCGTTTTCCTTGGTTATGATTACCATACGTATCGATTATATGATTTGCATGTTTTTAGGGGTGAGATAGATCCTTACGTAAACTATTCGTACCTCCCGGTCCAACAAGGACCTGTCCCTCAATGGGAACCTTTTGATCCTACTGTGGGTCCTAGACTTTGTTATCCTTATTGGGAGGGCCCCCATATTCCCTAGTTCTATCATAGGCACTACCCCGGGCACTAACGACTATAGGCGTCCCGGGGGTTGTGATTATGCATATGATCCGGCTAATCCTTCGCCTTTTCCGAACCCCGAGACTTTTGGAAGGTGGGGTAGGTCGGGTGAGACAATCTTAGATGATTAGTCTCATTATTTTGAGCTTTATAGAATTAGGAAGGAAAGTCGGTTGTGGGGTAAGGCTCCTATGGAAGTGAGCGAGATGGAAATCTCTAGTCATGTGATGGAGACAGGTGAGGGGAGTTCTCATTCTACCCCTTACCATAGTGCGGAATGATTCTACCTTGGTCCCCTCCTCTTTCTTTTGTGTTTTATATATGATATTTCTCTTTTGCCTATTTGTCTTTCGGTTTAGAGTTAGGGGGGCGGCCCTTTTTACGCTTGGGGGTGTTATATGTCGTTTATTGTTGAGTTTCGTTGTTTTTCCCCTTTGCTTTTGTAGTTCATTTCCTAGTCTCATCTGCTTCTAGTATAAAGCTCTAAGTCCTTTGGTTTTAATATGACGCTATGTTTTGGATTTGTTGTTTGATTCGCTATTCGCTGTCTGATGCGTTTCTCTGTATATCTGGTATATGAATCCTGATGATGATTATCTGCTATCTTGCTCTTTGCTACTGTTTCGGTCTGACATATCTTTGGATACTACTTCTGTTGCTATTTGATTTTTCTTTATTTTATTTTCTTCCTTTTCTTTTGTTCGACTTTGTTTGGAAGTTACTAACAATTTTTCTTTGTATTTAGTTCTTGTATTCTCACTTTGCTCTATTGTCTATGCTTGGGATTTCAACGATGCGTAAGGTGAAGAGTGCTCTTTCACCTTGATTTTGTAAGCATAGCTTTGGCGCTCGGTGAGATCTTTCTATATCTCTTCTCTTTCTTTCTTTCTTTCTTGGTTGCTTAGTTTTAGGGTTAGCTTTATTAAAATGAGTTGAATGGTTCGAGGATGTTTGCTTTGTAACACCTAGCGTGTTTGGGGTCATTGGCGTTGTTGCCGAATGACCAATTTTTTGACGATTTGGTATTACTTGTTTTTGTTTGCATTCTAGTACTTTTCACTCTAGTTTTTAGTTTTTAGCTCTTTTCTTTCTTTCATTTACAAATAAAACATTTTTGAGGCTATTTTTCTTCTTTTTGCTAGTTTAGTTCTTTTCTTTGGACATTCTACATTTCAGAATTTTGCCTTTGCATGTATGCTTTCCTATGTTTACTTGGTGTGCATGTTTTGAGAATATTTGCGCTTGACTCTAGGATAGGGTATGCTAAGGTAGTTGTTTAGACCTTTTGGGACCTTGAAGCCAGATTCCGTTGGGTTTGTTGTAAGACGGAGTTGCTTCCTTT